CCCCCCCCCAGCCACAACATCCCTCATCTCTCTCCCCCCCAGGTGGAAAATTTTCCCTGGTGCCAAAAAGGCTGGGGACCACTGATTTACAGGACCTTAGACTGCTGCAGAGAATGGGGAGAGACACTGGAGCAGTCCCAGAATAAGGCAGCTCGGAGCATCTGGTGAGTATAATTTTGTTTTCTAACCTAGACACAAATGAGCACTTAACCCTTGCAGTGCAGGTGTAGACCCAATGCAAAGGGTTTATAAATTTTAAAGAGTGCAAAGAAAATCTAATTTCCTATACTCGAGCACACGGACTGGTTTTGCACAGTCGTGCTGATGGAAGAGTAGTTACTGTATTGAACACACTATATAAATACATGTTTATTGACCTGCAAATGCTCGGGCCTCATCAGTCGGCACTGCTCTGAGGTGGCGCAAGTCACTCTTGTTCCCCACCAGCATGATGACTATGTTGTTGTCTGCATGGTCCCTCAATTCTTTCAACCACCTTTCCACATTTTCATAGGTAAGATGCTTGGCAATATCATACACCAGCAGAGCACCTACAGCTCCTCGATAGTACCTGTAGGAAGAAGATATGCTAAATCAGCTCATATAAAAAAGCTCAGAATGAGTGAATCTAATGATTGCTTATGAAACGAGAGGAAGGCCTGTGGATAATTTGGCATTAAACACAGCAAGTAAAAGGATTTATTGCAAAGCATGCACAATACCCCATGTTCTTCCCACCCTTTCAGTCCCACATCAGCATGACTTACGCAGAGGTGATTGCGCGGTATCTTTCCTGTCCAGCTGTGTCCCAAATCTGAGCTTTGATTGTTTTACCGTCCACCTGGATGCTCCTTGTAGCAAACTCCACACCGATGGTGCTTTTACTCTCTAGATTAAACTCGTTACGGGTAAAGCGAGAAAGGAGGTTACTTTTCCCAACTCCAGAATCACCGATCAGCACCACTGCAGGGAAAAAGAATAAAAATAAAATGGTTAAGGTTTAGATTTTGTTTAGTAAGTTACATTAAAAGACGCACACGTTTATGTTGGTGGCAATGCAACTATTACAATATAAGCAAACCTCGATTATTACGCTCGAAATTTTAAAATTGATATGGTCACTGCTATACATGGACTTTACAATAACATCAGATTACTACACATAAAAATACACATACACATACATACATACACATAAAAATAACTAAAGAAATATGGCACTTCATGAGATTGACCGGGTTAAAGGTCATCAGAGGGGCTCTGGCCTGTGACATTTGTGACTAGTGATGAAAACGGCTTATGAATACTATTTCAGTGGAAGGCAACTCACCCATTTAAAGATTTGGTCTCTCGTGAGAGGCAGCTGACATTCCTTTTGCTACAACCAGACCACAAATGTTATGACTCTCCAATGAATTAAAGAGACTCTGTTGCTAGAATGAAAGTGGCAATAAACCTCTTCCCTTCACAGATGTTACACTTAAAGGATCATCAAATCCTAGCATGTTTTTTGCCTAGATCTACTGCTAACAAGCAGTAAATATTTGCAAAAACATTTAAAAAAACATTTAAAAAAAAAAAAAAAAGACCAAATAGGTTTAAAAACCTACCTGCGTCTCTGCTACGCGCTCCCGTCCGAAGATTCTCGGGCGGACACAGGCCACCAAGGATCATTGGGCGGGTGCGAGCGCAGTACAGATCTTCGGCCGGGAGAAGAGCAGAGACACAGGGTAAGCTAATGCAGACAGGGTGCACCCGCACAGACTCCGTGGGACAGGAAGAGGCAGGAGTCAGTGCTGGATCAGAGACCGGCACCAGCGCTAGAAGGACTCTGGAAAACTACTGGAAAGAAGATCGGATCAAGAGGCATCATTTAAGGTAAGTCCTTAAAGCAGCATTGGGGAGGGAGAATTTTTTTGACTTCACATCACTTTTACCTCTCCTGCTGCCCACACCGCCAAACACGAAGAGTTGCCGAGATCTCTCCAAAGTGACGGTTCTTGGAGTGTTGATCCCATGGTCTCCAGCTGCCAGTTCCTCACTATTATAAAAGATGGGCCTCCTTGACTCTTCCAACTATTGGATTGCTGTGATCAGCTGCTGACTCCTCCAGCCTCCCTGTACCTCTCCTATGCTGCCCCCGTCGTTGCCAGACCAATGTCCTCAACCTGGGCTCAGCATTCCTACATCACACCTTGCCACTGCTGTACACCAGGGGGGGCCACCATCTGGCGCCAACTCACGTGCAGGAGGATGGTTGCCTTCCCTGAGTGATGGAAGGGAACCTTGGCCAAGAATCGGATGGGGGTCCGATAGGGAAGCCCTGCATGAGGTAATCCTGGAGTAGGTCCCAACGCATAGCAGGGTAGGCTCAGCCCTAAGGCAAACCAACATGAGCCCTGAAAACAACAAACATTACGATGTCCCTGTGTAGCCGGCGGAAACAAAAAAAAAAAAACTGACTTGGGATGGAAGGAGGAGTCTATTTAATGTGGTTGATGTGTTTTCTGTTGCAGGCAGGCGGAGCCTATATCTCGATGGCTATCCTGGAAGATGACTGGGGAAAAATCTAAGGCCAGCCACCATGCCGTCCCTTCTGTCGTTATCCTTGCCGGTGTGTGCATGCAATTTGCTCCCCTCCGTGTCCTACACCACCGTCACCCGTGTGCTCTCTAAACCCTACTGCTTCCCCCTACCTGCCTGTAACAGTAGACACAGAGCATTGTGGGGGGGGAAAAAAACACTTTTTTTCCCCAAATAACAAAAATAAACTGAAAATAACACCCCCACAAACTATATACACACACACACACACACACACACACACACACACACACACACACATAGTGGTAATGCACATTTTCTATGTTGATGCATAACATGCACGCTTATGTGTTTTAATCTTCTTTTACTAAATTAAATTTATTCAAATAATTGCGGATCGGGTGTTACCACAACACATAGCTGTGAAGCCAGCCTCCAGTATTTTAGCGCAAGCCAATTTGCCATTTTGTGTATCTGCGATCGTCACAGCTTTGCAAAAAAACAATTAAAAATGTTTTTGTTATTAATGCAACACAATGTTATCTTCTAGCTATAGTAGAAATGTGATAAGTGATGTTATTGTGTGCTAATAATGATTTTAGTATATTTATTGAAAATTTACACATCACAAGAACTGCAAAAATCAGCAACACCATATTTTTTATTTGATCAGTCCTATGCTTTCAGACAATGTAAAAGACCCAAACCATACAAAGCTCTGGAAGTGAAATTTTATAAAAACGTGAAAAATTGCAAAAAACATGGTCTGGCCACCATAGGTTAAAAGTGGAGCGCAGGGCCTGACAGTGAAAGGGTTAAAGATGTTGTAATAAAAACCAAAAAGGCCAATCAAGAAATATCACAAGGATCCTCACCAAGCACTTATGGCATCACTCCATATACAGGGGGTAGGAAACCTACAATAAAACACCCATCAAAGGGACCCTTTGATTACGTATAGAAAAAGGTTATAAAAAACCATTACATGTAAAAAAGTCTTAGCTGGTTCCTGGCCCGTCACACCCTGCTCTGATCGCTAGAAATAGTCCCCCGAAGTCCAATAGGAAACCACATCCAGGAGTATTGCTCTCCTGGGTTCCCCGCAGCTTTTCCTGGTTCCCCTTTCTGATCTCAAGTTACGGCCAGAGAAAGTGGTGACATGGAGGTCAGAGGAAGAAAACCAGAGAGGAACCCCAGAAGCCAGCCATGTCTGCGCGGAACCCCAGAAGCCAGCACTGCCAGAAGTTCTAGTGCCCTGAGCGATGCTCGGCAGTGCAGACACCAGGATTTCCTCCCTTCTTTCACATGTAACATCAGATTTAACAATATTTTTTACAACAGGGTTGCATTAAATAATTTGCTACCGGTATTATCAGGGATAATAGGTGGAGCAGAGGAAACAAAGAGCTCCTTTTCTCTTTTAAAAAGCAATGCTAGTTAAAGAAATAAAAGCCCTTATGACATTCAAATGACCACAGAGGTTTAACAAAATCCAGCGTGTTATTGAAGAACAAAAAGTAGAATGGGCCGAGCATAGAGACCCGACTCCTAGAACCGTGATTAAAAGGAGAACTATGGGGTCAGTGTTTTTTCCCATAGTTCTCCTTAGGGTAACGGGAGGACACAAACTAGCGTCCTCCCGTCACCCTAAGCTCAGTATACCGCGAGCTACAGCTTGCGGTATACTGAGACGCCGGAGCGGATCCCGACATCGAGATCCGCCCAGCTGCGTGAGCGACAGCTGGCTCTGCCTATCTAGAGGCAGAGCCAGCTGTACCCACCCCCTCCCCCCTCCGTTCCGCCAGTCAGCGCTGGCAGATCGGAGCGGGGAGAGGGGAATCCAGTCCCTCCCCCTGTCACGGCAGAGAGCCATGACAGGATCGAGAGGTGAGCGAACCCGGTATGTGTTCGCTCACCTCCCGATCTACTGAGCCGACCTGTGGCAGTCACATTGTCACAGGTCGGCTAGAACTATGAGGTGAGTGGAAATCACTCATCTCATAGTTCTCCTTTAACCTTTACTCAACAAAACATCTGCAGTTTACAATAATCCTCATACACCCAGGTACACCAGTCTGACAGGTCTACCTACCCTACAGACAGTTCCTGATCATTTACAGGGGTGACATCTGACAGAAGCCAGCCACAGCCAAGCTGAATGGACAATTTATTTCAAAGGGAATGAGTAAGAAAAGGTTGTGCAAGCTCATTCAACTGTATTTAACCCTTTCATAACCACCTGCCTATGCATATAAAATGTATATTAAAAGGGCATTATGCATCAACACTTTCCTACTAACCACTGGAGTTATTTCACCAAAGCCAACAAACAGGTTGAAGCTTCAAAGTCACACTAAAAACTCAGCAGGTACATTTTAAAAATGCATTTAGGTATTATAACTATTAACAAAAATGTATCTTATTTGTGTATCACTCGGCTGTAGATCCTCAAATCATCTCTGTATGGGTGCTGACACTGTCCTTCCTTCTGGGGGGTGGCTACTTTTGTTCCCCATGGACAAAAGTAGCCCACCTCCAGAAGGAAGGACAATGTCAGCACCAATTCAGAGATGATTTGATGATACACAAAGAAGATACATTTGTGTTAATAGGGCACTCGAATGTATTTTTAAGGTTTGACTCCTGAGTTTAATGAAGATTCCAGTCTAAAGCTGGCCACACACCAGTAGAATTACAAAACAAAATCATTTTGGAATGTTCATTTGATTTTCTAATAGTCAGTGGGGTCAAATCACCAATCCTTCTCAACTGAACTGGTTAAAAAAATAGTCCAAAAAGGAGCAAGATTCAGAAATTGATTGTTAAACATTCGTCAGGTCTCTGATGGCAGTGTTGAATGTTCCAATGGGCAGGCCATGAAGTTACAAGAGTAAAAAAGTAAAAGGGAGAACCCTCTTCACAAGGATGATGATGCTCATTCACTGAGCAATGAGTAGTCTGGAGGCAGGAATGTGACACAAGACAATGCATGCTTTTGAAGCAGAAGTGAACCGATGTATGCTTGGTGGGATTTTCTCATTATGTGTGAACATGCTCGGCATACTGCCCCAATTACCTTACATGTGTCCTTCTCCAGCACTGCAATGCATTTCTTGGTCCCCAATGCTACCATCACTGCTGCTACCACTTCCAGGTTCCCCCGACATCCTCTTTGGCCACTGATAATGTACTCTTGCGCATGCACACAGAAGTTACATCCTCCTGGCGTAAGGCTCATTCACAGCCTTTTAGAGAAGCCGTGCATGAGCAAAGTGTGTACACTGCACTGCGGATGCACCATACAGTATACACAGGAAGAAAAGATGCTAGGGGGGAGAGGAAGACGTTTTTTTGCATAAGAGACCTTGAGTATCTCTTCTCCCAAAAATCCCGACCGGCCAGCAATTTTTTTAACTTTA